AGTAGTAAAGATAGGATCGTGGCATTAAAAAAGTTACATAATTTGCAGAATATTCCTGATGCATTTCTTAATGAGGTAAATTATTTGTTTACTAATTCATTTATATTGATTATTATTGTTGAAATTAAATAATAATATTTTATTTTTTTTTTTAGTTTAAAAATTATGTCAAGTTCCATAGTAAATCAGATATAATTCAAATTTATGGATTAACACAAGATCCGGTTACAAATGAGTATATATTTGTAATGCATTATATGAAAGATGGAAATCTTCAAAATTATTTAACAAAAGATTTTAAAAAGTTAAAATGGGTGAATAAAATTACAATCCTTTATCAAATCATTGAAGGTTTAAAAAACATTCATCAAAAAAATGTTATCCATCACAATCTTCATAGTGGCAATGTTCTTCAAACTAAATCTGGTGGTGCTCACATTAATTCATATATTTCAGACTTAAGATTATCTTGTCCAGCTCAAATATCACAGTCAAACAAAGATGATATATTTGGAGTATTGCCATATGTTGCACCGGAAGTTTTAGGAAAGAAACCATATACTATGGCATCAGATATATATAGTTTTGGAGTTCTGATGTCTATAATATCAACTGGTCAACAACCATTCAGTAATCTTGCACATGATGCGGGTCTTGCAATGAAAGTGTGTGAAGGAGCAAGACCTGGATTCTCAAACAACACACCAAAGTTCTATGTTGAATTAGCGTACAGATGCATGAATGCTAATCCAGATGAACGTCCATCTGCTGAAGAAATTGTTGATATTATTCATTTTTGGAATGATTCATTTGATGATGGTTTAATAAATGGAACTAAAGATAAATATTATCAATATTCTAAAGAGCTTGATGAATTAAAATCAATTAGAAAAATGTTTGATAAAATGGACGAAATTTCATATGATCCTTCAACAATAGCTACAACAATTCATCCAAATGCTGTTTATGCCAGCAGACTATTAGAATTTACAGATCTTCCTAAAGCTGTAAATTCTAATAAGGTGACAATTATTGGTAATGATAATGGTGATTATTAACATTTTAATTATTATTATTTTTTAAAATTTTAATGTAAGCTTAAATCAGTTATATTTATATTCTGGTAAATTTTTTTTTTTAGATTCTAAACAGATTGATCTAGATAAACTTGTTACCTAATTGATATTATAATAAAATCTTGTAAAAGATAGTATGTCATAATTAATTTTACATTTCCACTTGTTCATGAATAAAAACATTTATTATTTATATTTTTTTCTGAAATAAAGAATTTCTCATCTGTTGATTGAGTTTTTAATTCATGATCAATTTCGTGTTCCCTTTTCTTTAATTTTAATTTTTCTGATCGTAATAAATGAACTAGTCCATGCTTTCAGATTAACAATTGCAAACAATGTCATCCGCCACTTATTTAGACAAGATGTGTCCTCACAACAAATATTAAAATATTTACATTCGAGTTTGACCATACATATCATACAACCACTTGGGTAAAATATGAATCCTTTTTCAGATGGTGATTATTTTCATTTGATATTTTTGTTTTGTTTGTTGGTGGACGATTCATCTAATTTTTTGAATTCACAATTGTATAAAGTTTATCAATAATAAGCTTTGAATGAGTTCATTTTCATTTTCTTTATAATCAAAATTTATTTCATGTAAAACCTTGTACCAAATAAAATCCATTAATCACGCTCTCTCAATCTCGGATAGACTATATTTTATACAAAAGCCCATCAAAAATGTTTGATCTTGTTTCTTTTCATAACAACTACATCATAATATGAGATTACTATTCATTGTCATTCTTCTAAACTCTTGTGCGAGTTATCCTGAAGAATAATCAAATGTGTAACAAATTCATTAAAAAGTGTATGTTCCTATGATTGTCTTTTTCTTGTTTTGATTTTTAATGTTTCTGAGAGTGTTATTTTGAGCTCGTATTTCTTCTTACCGAGCTATAAAATTTTCTACAGGATACTTGTCAATTAATTTCGAATTCTCAAAAAACTTTCATAACAGGATGTCCCGTTTCTTTTCATAATAATAAAAAAAAATCTAACGTGATTTTCTATTATTAATAACATTAATAGTCTGAATATTATGCTCATCAAGGTAGAAATGACTTTTCTGATGTTATTTAATAAACCTATAAAATGTTTGTGTTTAAAGATTTTATATTATCTATAACAATTTCGTGACCTTAAATCAGTAAATAAAATAAAATATATTTGATGAAGAAATTTCTAATTTCTGGTTGTTAGGGCTTGATGATTGCACTATAAAGAATTGATATATCATTTGAGATTGAAGTAGAAGAGGAGGGAGGATCAGAGAACAAGAAAGTTGACGTAGGTAGATGTGGATGTGGAATTATTAAAATCGGGAGGAATATTAGAAGATGAAGATTGAGCATCACACCCACCTTCTTCACCCGGTATGTGCACGACACAACAATTGAACTAGTGCTTCATGGTTAAATCATCATGTTTAAAGAAGTAAGATCCATCAGAATTGTCTGTGTTGTATAACATTAGGTTCCTCTTCCTGAATAATCAGTCACGTTCCCTCCATTATTCTCCTAATTTTGGAAATGCTATATGTTTTTTAATTCAATGAGGAAGTTCTATTATGCGCGAAGGCGATCGTGATATATTCAGATAATCTTTTGAGAAAGAACCAAAACAACAACAATAGTAATAAAACCAAACTAATCGATTTTGGTACGGCAAAAATGTTATTTATTATTAATTGCGAATAGTTTATTAAAATTAGGCAAGTCAAAAGTTGTTATATGGAAATAAGGCGTATTAATAAGAAAAAAATTATTATTTATGCAGCAATTTTTTATTTTTCTATATATAATTTTAATAAAGAAAATAAATCATTAAATAAATAAATAAATAAATGTAAATTTTGAGAGAAAAGTTTGTACATGAATTTGAAAGATGAAAATTTTGTGTATATATGAGGATGATGATATGTTATTATTAGTTATTGATTGATTGTCCTTTTTGTAAAAATCTAATTTTTAATTTTTAATATTTTATATATTTTTTTAATGTTTATTTACAGTGTTTTCATTAGCGAGAGTTAAACATATAAAGATCTTGATATATTGTTAGTATTGGCATTGTTAAGATTATTGTTAATTGCAACAAGATTGTTGTTAATAATTTTTTTTGCTGATTTATTATAATAATAATGTTGGTGACGAGAAATAGGAGAACGATGATAAAATAGGAATTGTTGATGTTGTTGATTCAATAATTTCGAAGAAGCTGTTAATTTTGAGGCCTTCATTACATCATAATTGTAGCTTGACGGTGATTTCTTTGTTCTAACTGATTCCTCTAAGCGATCTTGCATTTTACATTCTTCTGAACAATAAATTGCGCCCTAAAATTTATATAAATAATATTAATATTAATATAATGTTTGTTTTATAGTAATTATTAATAAAGATTGATATTATTTTCCTCTTCTAAAAAATTATTACTTACGGAAGTATTGCAATGAGAATCACACATAATACACCAATCTGTGTCCATTTTATTTAATAAATGATAAATTTTATTATATATCAACTAAATTTAATTTACTCGAACCTCGGTTTTAGAATTAAGTAATTAAAGCTCGTTATATAAATTATAGATAAATTTTGTTTATTTTTTTTAATCCAAACTTTAAGTTGAAAAATAAAATAAAAAAAAGAAAAAAAACTCACGAAAACTACACGTATTTATATAACTAAAAAAATAAAATACAAATTACACAAAAATTTTTTTTTTTTAGTTTAAACGCCGAATTTGCTTTTTTTGTTTATTATAATAATATATATATATATATAAATCAAGTTTTTGAATTTAGGTATTTAGGTAATGTTTTCGGCCGCATGTCTAAAATTAAACAAAATTAGACCAATAAAAAAATTTAAATTGTCTCTAATTGGGATTTTAATTTTTTGGGCCTTTTTTTATTTTATTTATACCAAAATGAAAAACAATTGATATCAAAATTTCAGGGTTTAAATTTTAGTGACGAGCTATACAAAGAACCCTAATAATCTTTTAATCCCAATCACCTTGAGATACATCAAGACACCCGCCCAATTTACAATTCCCTCAAGGTGAGTTTTCTGTCGAATATTGGAAAAGAATAATAGGAATTAAAAAAACCGTTAAACATTACAATAATTCATTTTGACCAAGCATCACACGAAAGTTATGTATTCTTATCGTTCATTACTTTTTCACATGATGATCATAGTGTATCAAGTGTATTTGTTTGAAGGTGAGAATGAGTGATTGTATAGCGTAACGGTTTGAAAATTGTTGTTGGCGCCGGTGTTCCAGGCTTTGCATACGTAGTCTATGCATATTTCCAGGTTCACAATGAAATTTTTCTTATTGCTTCACCAATTCCATCAATTTAATTTTCGTCATCAATACAAAACATTGCTTATGTGTGCCATTGAGGTGATGTTATAAACTCATAAATCACAAGCATGTCTAAAAATGACTCTTCACCAGATATATCAGACTCTATACTAACATCTCTCTGCATCTTTATTTCTCATTATTGATGGACTAAAACTTTTGGAAATATATTTCACTTTTTAATTGATATAATAAGCATTTTCAAAGTGCTGTTGCACAACATTTGGGTTTATGGTAATTTTTATCACTTATTTGTAGCACTAGTTTTCCATTTTGAATAATCAATGACAATAAGCAGCCATGTTGTTATTTTAGGTTTGGGCAAAAGAATTCATTGGTAGAAAGTGTGGTTCAGATGAGTTAGAAGCCCGTAAAAATTTGTAAACAATATACTAATGGTAAGAATTGGGATTTTGATTTATTTATTTATTTATTTATTTATTTATTTATTTATTATTTATTTATTTATTTATTTATTTATTTATTTATATTATATATGTATGTATGCATACATATATATATTATTAATTTATTATCTTAGAAAAATAAATCTCTAAAAGTACTTGAAAGAGCAGTCATTAAACGTGATGGTTGCTTAACAACTCTAGACGCAGTTTCAAACAGCGAGGCTGTTGATAAAAAGATCAATAAAATAATGAGGGTTCTAGGTCCACTGTATAGATGAAGAATCAAGTCATAAGGAGTTAAAACGTTGATCATACAAACATTTGGCGATACAAAATCTGTGGATTTGGAAAAGTATTGATGAATAGTTTGGCGTCTTGTTCTATGACGCCAGAAAGCTCTGAATAAACATATTAAGCCATTGGTATCAGATATGGTTAGAATATATATTTTCTAATAAATAACCGTGCTGTTACCATCAAAAAAGGGAGTTGAATTGGTATTATTTAGATTAGAGACTTTAAAATGCTGCTTAACGAGCATTGTTTACAACAAAAGATATGGGGACTATTTGTACTAAGTCACTAAATTTTAGTCCCTGAAAATTTTTGAACATCAATGTATATTAGCAAGAATACTGATTATCCATTTTTAGAATAGTTTAAGTATAATTAAGTATAATAAAAAAAAATTTATTTATGCAAACCTGCAAATCATTTAATTGTTATTATGTTAATTAATTGGTTCAGCGTATTAATTATAATTTATTTAATACTTTATAGTTTATATTAATGTAAATAATATTAGGAAAGTTATTCTCTAAATTTTTTTTCCCGCCAAAATAAAAATTTCAAATTCGGATAAATGCAGTTAAAATAAAAATGTTTATGAAACCCATATGGTATAATAACTGAACACCAATTATTCATTAGGAGCTACAATTTGTTTGAGAATAGAACTATTTCAAATATATAAAAAAGAGAATTGTTTGTTTGCCTCTTTAAATTAGAAAAAAAAAAACGTCAAAATAAAGATGCGTATTATAATTATGTGTTATTGTTATGTGTTGTTTTAAATGAAGATGAAAAAAATAAAATAAATATAATTCAAATAATTCGTTCGTTTGTTTGTTCGTTTGTTCGTTTGTTCGTTTGTTCGTTTGTTCGTTCGTTTGTTTGTTCGTACATTCGTTAGTTAGTCAGTTTGTACGTTCGTTCACTCGATTCTTATTACGTTTTTAAAAATAAAAATTACACAACTTTATTTTTCCTCACAAATTAGTACATTTGTTTATCTCATGATCGATTTAAACACCAATTAAAAATTGCACACTGCTGTATTTAGCTGAGCATGAATTTTATTATTATAATAATAACAGATTTTGGTAATCAATATTGTTATTATAATGTTTAAATATTAATTAGTCCATCTCTAGAAAAAAAAATTAAATATTTTTATGCACTTTTTATAACAAAACGGGCGTGATTTTTAAAAAATAATTTAATAATTTTGTATCACTTCTTTTTTATTTTAAAATTTTAATTTTGTGTAATGAAAAGGAAAAACCTCCTCTTACATTGAACCTATTACTATAACCAAGTCTAAGCCTTACATAGACAGCTTACAATAAGGTGTGTCTCGTGTGTAAGTCCCAACATCGCGAGCAACTCTTGTTGTGCTTCCGTAACATACTTTAAAAAGTATATCTGTCATTGATGGAATTGCAAGTTGTACATCTAAAGGTCCCAGATTTTGTTAGATTCGTCCCACAGTATCCCCACATTTTACTAATATGTTCATATGACTATTTTGCACCAAGGATTCTCGCGGATTTATGAAATAAAAAACGGTAATTATAGTGTAATTAAGGTCAACATTTATTTGCCTTGAAGTTTTAGGTTGAATTTTTCTAAAATCATCATTATTGTATTGTTTAGCGTTTTAAACTACTCTACACATATCCATTTTGCAAATTTTCAATGACATTCGTATCGACGGAACTTATATCCTTTACACTTGTTTGCTTTACCATGAACAGGATTCTTTTCACTTTGGATTCTATCACCTTTATTCTCTTAACTACCAAAATTTAGAATCTTGGTGATTGGCCTTAATTTATGCATACATGAGCAGAATTCATCAAGACGATTCACGGCGAGACAACAGTCATATTGTATTTTTTTAGATATGTTCTCACTTGATTGAAGAATGAAAATTCACTTCTTTTATTTCCTCATACTGGTAAATGATTGAATGTTTGTAAATATGCATTTCTCAAAAATTTGGTTCATTTTAGTGCATGTTTAACCTAGGTCAAGTTGATTTTTTTACCTGTGCCAATCTCTTTATTGTAGTTTGTATAATTTTCACAAATCTTTTTTATTTATATTTTTTATATTAACTGTTATTAAGCATTTGTTGTATGTATAACATGCAGTTTAAAATCTGATTTTAAGAGCCTTCCCGGATAGAAGTTTTTTAGAAGAAGAAGCCGCATCTTCCTTCATATGCCGTCTGATAAAAGGCAGAAGATGATTTAAACCATTGATGTTGTTTTAATTAAATCAGTTGCAACCCATAATCCAAGAGCTAGTCTTTTTAAAGAACCATCCGATTGACTGGATACAGTGTTTATCAGTTTGCGAGTTCTGATCCCAGATCATCAATTTTCTGGTGTGATACTTATCCATCTGTGACATATTCCGGTATGGACCTGTGTCATAATCTTCGTCATTTATGACGCATATGATGAACAAGAAAGAGAGAAACGCCAACCAAAATAACAATTAATAATTATCAACAATATTTAAAAATAAAATTTTCCGAATCACGATAATTAAAAATAAATTTATTGATGAGTCATATCATCTTTATTTTTAATAGATGCTCCCGATAAAATTTTCTATGATCATCAATCATATTAATATACATGCATACACATGTAATTAATAGACAATATTAATATGGCGTCTTTTTAGAACTCCGAAAAAAAATTTTTTTTTTCCAACATGTTCCTTTCTATTGAAAAGACGCCATAAAAATGGGGCATGCTGCAACAAAGAATTTGTAGGTATCAAATTAGCCAAAATTGTTTAACAACACAATGTATTAATGGCTTTATAATAATGCTCTTCGTTTCTTGCTTCATAAAATTTAATTGTCAAATACCATTTATAGTAGCAATCAAGCCAAAAGTATAAACTTATCCCCTTCTTTCACTTTAATTGTACATATTTTATCTGGCCTGATTCAATTTGTTTTCTTCGACTTTATTTAGTTAGCATTTGTAATTTTTTTTTCTTAAATCTTTGAATAATTGATACTTAACTTTTTAAACTAATTCAAAATTTTACCTTTGCAAGGAAGGTTGCTGAAAATGATCAACTTCCATTTACCGCACTTTTTGTTGATTGTGGCCGAAATTTTATTTGTTTTAATCATTAGTTAATAAAAATGTTAGAGATGTGAAATTTTGCACATATAATTTGGTAACCTAAGTTGCAAAACAATGCTTTTTATCATGCAATTTTTTTTAAAGAGTGCACCAGATCGATATTACACTGGGTTCATGTATTACAGATTTTCATTTGTTGATTAATTGGTGGTCCGCCGATCAACGATAGAATTTCTTTTAATATTATTATTAAATTAAAAAAAACCTCCATTTTCAGATTTAATAATAATAAATTATTTTTTAATACACAGTGAATCTTGATTTAGCGGATCTCGAATTAGCAGATACTAATTAAAAATCTCAGTTTTACGGATAAAGTTCAAAGAACAGTTCCGTAATAAACCTTAATAAAGACCTTCTTGATATGGCGGATATCTCGGTTCAAACAGATTTTTTTAAACCAAGATTTACTGTGTAATGACAATTATACGACTTTGGATTTACATTATATTGCCAATTTGCATTTTAAAACAATTTTTCCAAAATAGTAAAAGTATATACTGTATATTGTAAAGGTTACATGAATAGAAGTTTGTGGATGAGGCATAATTAGGTTTAATATCATAATCAATGTCCAAAATATGTATGGCTGAGTTTGAATTAACTTTGAGCTGCACTCATTTATTAATCACAAGCTTTTATATTAATTGACTTGTTTTATAAATTTATTGCCTCTCTCTTGTACCTAGAAAGCTTTGATAAGTCTATAAGTACACATCTGCTCCGCGTTTTGATTGCAATTAAAATATTTATAAACTAAAATAAAAATATCAATGCAAATAAAAAATAGTACCTCTGTCATTAACACGTCTTCAGACCCAATCTCATACCAAACAACATCATTCACGTTTTGCCATTGAAAAATAGATGGTTTTTCAAAAATCAAATCACGTTAACAAAAAAAAATCTTTGTACAACACCAAGTGCCAATAATAATAAATATTTTGTTTTTTTTTTTTTTTCCCCTTAACAAGTCTTTTTTATAAAATTATAAAAATGCCAAATTCATAACGGCGTCTGTTTTCCTCCAGAATACGTTCCTCATAATATTAAGATGAAATATAATGGTATGGAAATATTATTGTTGTTGTTGTTGTTATAATTTTTAATTATATTTATAAATTTTTTATAATAATCATTATTGATTTCTTTTTTCAAAGGGCTTGAAATCAAACTCACTCCAGAAGCGAAGAAGTAGCTACATTTTATGCTGCATTATTATTTAACACAGACTATGTAAAGAACAATACTTTCAACAAAAACTTTTTTAAAGATTGGCAAGTTATCTTGGAAGAATCTGAAGAAAATCCACTAATTGAGAATTTTGAAAAATGTGATCTTACTTCTATATACAACTATTTACAAGAAGAAAAGGAACAAAGAATTTTTCAAAATAGGAAAAACAAAAGTTGAAAGATGAAAAGACCAGGGTTGATGAGTTTTATGGTTATTGTTACTTAGATGGACATAAAGAAAAAATTGGTAATTTTAGAATTGAGCCACTTGGTTTTGTTTAAAGGTCATTGTGATCATCCTAAAACTGGTTCATTGAAGTTGAGAGTCACCTCCAAGCAAATAACAATTAATATCAGTAAAGATGCATTTATCCCTCCTCCACCTGCGGCCACTCCTGGGGTGGTATTCTACGTTATAACACAGTTACCTGACTCACCACCTGGAAGGAGAATATAAATGACAGCATAAATATGCGTTTTTAGCAGCCAATAGCTCACTTAAAGGTCAAAGTGACTTGAAAAAAATTGATAAAGCTAGGGAGTTCGATAAACACATAGAAAAAATTTGGTGTGATTACATATTGGATTTAAAAGATAGACTCAGTTCAGTTTGTCAACATACTATGGCTATGTATCTTATTGACAGGCTTTCCCTAAGAGCAGGAAATGAAAAAACTGAAGAAGCAGATACTATAGGTTTTTGTTCCCTCAGATGTGAGCATATTACTTTGGTACCGCCAATGACAGTCAAGTTCAATTTTCTAGTTAAAGATTCAATAAGATACATAAATTCGGTGGAAGTAATAGAACAAGTCTTCAAAAATCTTAAAATATTTCTGAAGGATAAGGGATTCACTGAACGTTATTTGACAGATTAAAGGTACAAAAAAAAAATATATATTTTCAAATTTCATATATTGCATATATATATATATATATATATATATATATATATATATATATATATATATATGCATGTGTGTGTTTTATTAATAAATTCAAATTTCTTTATAAAAATTATTTTAGACTCAAGATTTGAATATTCATTTACCTGAATACATGGAGGAACTAACTGCCAAAGTGTTCTGTACATACAACGCATCTTGTACCTTCCAAATTGAGCTAAAGAAAGAGATGGAGGATACTACTACCGTAATGGAAAAAAATGGTAGCATATAATAAAGCAAACAGACAGGTTGCTATTTTACGTAACCATCAACATTCTGTCAGCAAGGCTCATGATAATCAAATCAATAGAATTGATGATAGGGTAATTTTTTATCATGCAACTAATGATTATTGTTAATTCTCAAATAAATTTACATATATTCTTTAATATGTATGTGTAGGTTTGTGCTTTGAAATATCAAAGCAATAGATGTAAAATGTAATTGTTGACTCTTGAACCTAAATTAAAAAAGAAAGAGCCTCAACTATTTGAACCAGAATTAGACATGGAAGAGGAATGGACAATCAAGCACGAGAAACAATTGATGGAAAAAGAACATTTGGCAATTATGAATAAATTTAAAAGAGATAATGAAAAGCTTACAGAAGAAGGGAAACCACATAAACCTGAAGACCATCTTAAACAATTATTAAAGGACATCAATGAAAAAGAGAGAGAATTGAAGAATGAATGGAAATCTGGCAAAGTCAATCCCAAAAAAGGACAAACAAGTGAAAAATTCTGGATCCAAATAGAAAAATTGACAGAATGTATCAAAACCACCAAATTGTTGAAACAAAATAAAGAAGACAATAATAAGACAACTGCACTCGGTACATCAAAATTAATTATTTACACTCACATATTTCTGTAGCATGTACAAAAAGTATGAAGTAAAAATCTTAGAGATGCAATACATCTGTCGGATTTAAACAGATTATCCGGATTATCCATAATAATAAAATTGAACGGATCATCCGGATTGTATGGATTATCTGCGGTTTGAACGGGATAATTCAACAATATTAGTATTAGTATTAATAAAATGTTACAAAAAGAGTAGTAATGTTATATTTATTATAAGTTAATTCGGTGGGTGAATACATTTAACACAACTTGCATTTCTTTTTAAAAACAAAATTCGTTTAAACAATTACGAATTCATTTCCTTCACTTTTTCAAAATGCTTCCACACAAAACCATGTGTTACAATTCGTTTTTTAAAAGGTCTTCTGGAACCACCGCCTAAATCATTGGAACTTGAAGCCAATGGACTATTGGACCTTGTATTGGAAATGTTTATTCATTCGCATGTAAAATTATCATCAACAACACCACTACTATTGTCGTCATCATCATATTGATGGTATTGATATTCTTCCGCATAGAAATTTTCCATTTTGAATGATAAAACACAAAAATCGTAATTGGTCAGACAATAATAATATTAGCATAGTATTAGTATTAATATTAGTAGTCGACTATTTTAGTCGATTCCAACCTCTAATTACGAGCTTAGTGATAAGTGCACGTCCTTTACAGTCTTCACTGCATAGGTTTTGTCAATTCCATCTCTAAATGTATGCTCGTGACTTACATGTGATTATTGTGTAATAAAATTTGGCAAATTATGATGGAGAAAACAGTACTAGTAGAATAACTACAAAACCAATGAATTCTTTTTAGAATATCAAAATAATAAAAACGGAATAACAGAAAATAAAATAGTAAATAATAAGTTTATTATGTAACAAATTTGCGATGGATATTTTTTTAACTGTTCATAGAAAATTTTTATCTTTTATTTGTAATGTGATCTATTGAAGGTGAATGAATGATAAGAGGAGGAAAATTATAAATCCAATAATTATTACTAAATAAGATTTAATATAACATTGTAAAAATTGACAAATAAATAAAATAAACAGACTACAATTTACTCTCACTGAGTAAAATCGCTCTACAAGTCACTCACGTTATAATTACATTCGTTATAATTTTTTTTATTATTCCAATCAAAATCATTCTGATCAGGATTAAAATTGACCAGCATCGTAGTAGTAGAACACTTCCGTATAATTGACCCCGGTGTAAGTTTTAATTTCCTGATAGATTAAATGATGTGTAAAACATTGACTAATACGGCTAATTTGGCTCGTCACCTTCGACCATTTCCACGAAAACATTTGTGTTATGGATTTGAGAGTTTCGATTACTTTATCTATGGAGAACTTGGTTTATCCAATGGATCATGCCTGGATAATCTCCTCTTCTCTATTCAACCAAACTTGATGTACCATTCGTAGTAACCTGGTTTTTTCACGCATAGTACGCATAGTGTATATATATCATGGAGAAGTAATATTATAAATTCGCGCATCATAATAATAACAGATATAGTTTTTTTTTAAAAAAATTTTTATTAATAAATAAATGTAAAAAACATAGCTAAAACCTTACTATACACCTGGCATAAGAATCATGCGAATTCAATTCTGATTCAAATACCTTTAATTTTTAATGACCTAAGACACAAAAAACGGATTAGTTGGAGACCATTGGCATCACCAAACTCAATTGTCATTAGGTATATTCACCAAAACTATACCAAGCTACTGAAACACTTTTGGTTCAAAAATCTAAACCGAAACATCTCTAGTATGTTTTTTTTTAATAGATAATTAATTAATTATAAAGATATTTATTTTTTATTGACTGCTGACAATGGTAAATATATTAATAATGTAAAAGAAGCGAGGAATTATTTTAATTAAAAAAATGAGATTTATTATTTGATTATAATATTTGAATATGTTTGCATAATTACATAATTCTAAATATCATGTTCATTTATTTTTTGAATCAAATTGAAAATTCATAAATTATTGGATGACTTCCTTCGAATGTTTGGATGGAAGTGAGGCTAAAAATAGTAAAGGACACCATTCTGCAAAGTGTCACAATTGTACTAAATTTTTTGATGTAGGAAACTTGAAAACCATCTGGCAAAGGAATATGGTGGTAAATAATATTAATAGAGCATTAATCGGGGCATTTGTAATGTGTGGTATATCTTTTAATGTTATTCAGAATCCATATTTTGTTGAGTTACTTAGACGCCTACACACCACCTAATAGAAAAGCGTTTTCAGGAAGACTCCTTGGTATAGAAGTGGCTGATATTAATATCAAAATTAACCTGCAACTTGTAGAGATACATAGTGGTTGTGATAATGATGACAGTGGCGCATTAGAAAATAGGCAGAAAAAAAAGCTAAGATTAATAATTTATTTTTGAAGAATAAGCGATTTTTAGTCAAATGTATTCGTTTGACTTTCGGTTTAAGTTTTGAATTTCAGTATTAATATTTATGCTACTATAAATAAATAAAGAAACATTCTTTCTCACTTAACATTATATATATAAAATCATTCGATATTTTTTTTTTAAAAAAACTCCATTCAAAAATGTCTAATAGTTTTTCATCCTTGACAACTTCTTTAATCCTGACGATGATAATGATAAAATTACTGCCATTTAAACATATCAGGAAATTTGTAAATGGTTTAACCGATCTATAAATGAATCAGACTTTTATGACATGGAGATAAAAGTTGGGGCAGACCATAATGTTAAAATTTTAAAGCTCATTCAAAGCATTTTAAAAGTTGGGTCACTCAAAACTGCTCTATCAAATAATTGGGTAAACAGATCTGAAGATGGCACTAAGTTATTTTAGTTATTTTAATGTAAGTTGAATTTTTGATTTTTTTAACAAATGATTTATTTATCAATTTAAATAATAAGAATCTAAATCCTGACGAGATTGATGAACTTCTTGTGGCATGCAATGGCTAGATTTAATTATTTGTTTGATGATTTACAAAATCATTTAATAAAAGCTGGGTCCAGCAGAATTTAAATTACCTTTATCAATTTTCATCAAGACATGAATCATTTAGCATACTTAAAGATTACTTTGAAAACTTGATTACAAGAGATCTGGGATCATTCTTGGGATTTCAATGATATTGAAAGACCATACTTGTTTATCTAATTTTTAAAAATAGATTAGGTTTAGATATTTGTGATTGCATTATTCAATGGAGAATTGAACAAATTGAAAATTTAGAAGATGATGCTTCAAAGCGTGGAATGAAGATGATTTCAGAGAATTAAAGAAGGAGTTATTCCTTTGATTAGATTTCAATGAGGATTAGTGAGAAGATTATGTCCATATCAAAAACCTTTTTTCAAGGTTATTATTATTTGATCCCTGATAAATAATCAACTTCAAATTTGTTGCCGTCAAGCAATTCAATAATTATCAATCAAAAGGACAATATGCCCTTTTCAAGTTGGATTAATTGAAAAAGACCACCCATATAATTCAGTTAAATATGTTAAATGTAAATTTAAACATTTATATCATACCGTAGTAGAGATGGTTTAAATCCAAATACATTTCATCAAAAATGTGATGATATCAAAAAAAACTCTTGTAGTGGCAAAATACAAGATTCAGATCAATTAATAGTGGGTTATAATTCACTTGATTGGAATGATTATAGTGGAAATTTCAGTGTATATAAAAATCTGGCAGAAAGCTTAATATAAACAATAAAAACTGCATGGTTAGCTATGTTACTAATGGTGTAGTTCTTACTATTTATAAAAATATCAATATAGTACATGGCAGTGTACTTGATGAATTAAAAGCCAAACAAAGAGATTATTTTAAAATTTATAAAGTGAAATTAAATACTGATATTAAAATAAAGATTATATATTATTAACCGTCTATTTGGTAATCACGAGAACAAATTTAACTACGTTCTTGATGAAGATGATTTGGTAGCTAGTGGCATACTTGGGATGACTTTTGATGGAATTAAAAAATTGAATGAATGTGATAGAGGTATCTAAAGATTACTTGTGGCAGATAAAATAAAAATAAAAATATCCATTTGGTTTTATTTATATTTAGCAATTTGTAAAAGGTATGCAAAAATTTAAATGTAATAGCTTGGATTAACAAGAAACTCTATCATAAAACGAGTGTAGATTATGTGGATCATGTTGTCAAAGTCCTAACTAAATAAAACTCAATGTTGTCTGTTCTGAAGATGGAAATGTCTTTCAATATTTTGATTTTGATTTTGATTTATTTTAAAAAGTTGAATGGCACTAAAAAAATTCCAATGTTTTCTTTTTATCACTTCCAATATTGGCCACCTACTCCTGTAAGACCTCAAGCATCAAGAATATCGTTACTTTTGCCAAAATTTTTTATCAATTCTATTTTTATAATTCAAAAATTAAAAATTATCATTATCATTGTTTTTCTTTAAATCAAATATGTAATAAAAGAGAAATAATAAAAATTGTTTTATTTTATTGATGGAAAAGAGAAATAAAAATAAAATAAAAAAGATAAAATAAAAAATGTAAAAAATTATGCAAAGTTAACATATATATTTATATATATATTATTATGCCCCATATATAATATTTGAGTTGTATGTGTTGATTGATTGATTTACGTAAATGTATAATGTATTAAAAAAAATTAATCAATGAATGAATTGATAAATAATAATAAAATAATGAATCATGAGTGTATTTTAAAAAAATTGGAAAGAAAAAAATTTTTTGATAAAATCAATCATAAAAAAAAAAAGATAAAAAATATTTATATAATATTATATATATATATATGTTCATTTTTTATTTGTTAATTTAATTTATCCAGAGTAAGCGTTTCCACTCGCAGGACCATGACTACCTACAGAAGGTGGATGACCGCCGCCAATAGAAGCGTGTGAATTAGGAGTACCAATTCCTGGAGCACCCGGAGCACCTGCACCAGAAGCATTGTTTGCTGCGTTGTAACCACCACCATAAGGATAAAATTGTTGTCCGTAATCATAACCAGCATTATTATAATAATTTTCCCAACCAGCTGTAGGATGTTGTTGTTGGCCAGCAACTACTGCTGCTGCAGCAGCTCCGTCGAGTGATGCTATAGATGGTGGCGGGGCTGACATACCAGGTGGAAGATCATATCCACTTTCAGTACCTGGAGTAGCATAAGGATGAGTGGTATGATTATAATAACCATATGGACTAATATTATAAGTACTTGGAACTCCATAAGTATGATAAGCTGTCGTGGTTTGATCTGGTGCTCTATCTTTTCCCCAAGAACACTAAGCAAAAATTTTTTTTTTAATAATAAAAGAAATTAGTTGATAATAAAAAACTTGATTCTTGAAACATTATGAATTGTTATATTATTTAATTACTTTAATAGTTCGTCCGTTAATAACGGTATTTTGTAAATTCACAATCGCATTGGCAGCATTTTCATGAGTATCTAGTCTAAAAAAAATTTCAATGAATATAATTAGAATCATTAAAAAAAAATATTTACCTAATAATTATGGAGGATGAACATCAAGCGAAAAAAAAACAACTCACTTTACAAAAGCAAACCCACGTTCTACTTGCATGCGAACTTCAATGATGTAACCATAAGGTTGAAAATATGGTATAATATGCTCCTCTAAAATAAAAAAATCACCGAATAATAAATAAAAGTAATGAATAAAATCCCTTTTCTTTAAATTTTAATTGGTGTCAGAAAGAAGTAAAAAATGAAATGAAATTTACGTGTGGTATAAGGAGGCAAGTTTCCTACATACACTGTACTATTGTATGGAGGAGTCTGTGTTACAACAATGTCATAAGATAATTGTGGTGTTTGTGTGTTTGAGCCTAATAAATAAGAATGAAAAAAAACAAAACGGATATCAATTAATGAAAAAGATTAAAAAGCAAATTCCGCGATGTGCTACCTTGTCGTTCTGTTGTTACGGTTCCAGGACCAGGTTGACCTTTTTGATTGGCCCAATTACAACGAATAGCACGGCTTCCAAGCCATTCACCTAAATACATGCATACATACATAATAAAAAAATAAAGGAGGGAAAATCAAATGTTTAACATTACCTTTCTATAACTTGTTTAAAAATCAGAAAAAATTATGCATGAGTAGTGATTATTCTAACAATATCTTTTTGATTCTCCAAACTCACCATTCATGGTTGCAATTGCTTGTTCAGCATCCTAAAAAAAAAAAAAATAGTGAGAATAAAATAAAAACAAGAAAAACGATCGGTGCAATCCATAACTTACGGTTTTATCACGAAATGCTACAAATCCATAACCTCGAGACTTTCCAGAATTAACGTCCCACATAACACGTGCGTCACTAAATATAAACATAAATAATTAACAAATAAATATTTTTAGAACAGTGAATCAAGTATTATCGACTTACGACATGCTTCCAAACGCATTAAATGCTTTGGCTAGTACTTCATCATTAACCTCGGGACTTAAATCACCAACGAAAATATGGTAATGATCTTTTAATTGTGAAAAAATAAAATAAATAACAATTGAATAAAATTATAATTTCATGATTATTATTATTTATTCAATTATAAAACTTACTAGATGTATCTTCTTTATGGCCCTGTTGACCTTGAAAAGCCCAATTAACTTTAATTTCCTATATAAATGTCAAATTTTATATAAGCAAGTTATTTAGAAATTAATATCAAAGAAAGTTTTAAATAATGAAATAGAAAATACCATATGGTATATTTTTCTGCCATTAAGAGTTTGTAGTGCTTGCTCTGCTGAACGATGATCGTTAAATTCAACAAAACCATAATTTAAACCACCATGTTGATACTTAAAATAATTAAAAGATAATGTTATTACCACAAGAACATATGATTAATGAAGAGGCAAAAAAATTTTTGAAATTGTTAGTAATGGTAAATAAAATCAACAATTAAAAAAAATCAATTTAGGCGTCCATATATATATATTGCTAAAGGTATAAGAGATTAGGCTACGATCCAAACTTTTTTTTTTGTTTAGTGAACGTAATAATAATTTGCCCCACATTAAATAATAAATATGACTAGCTGATATTATCAAAAGGTTGGGGAATAAAAGAAAAAAAAGGGAAACGAATAAAATCTATCTGTATAAATAATGATATAAATAATGATATAAATAAAGTAAAATAAAATAAAATGATATATAGAGAGAGATAGATAGATAGATAGATAAAGAGATAAAGAGAAATTAAACTGAGGGAAGATAAAGGAAATCCAACCTTTGAGCTGCGTCATATGTAAGTATGGAGCGCAACTCGTGTTTCCAGAGTAGCCAAGCCATTTGGGATTACTTCAGAGCTCGTTTTCAAATAGTGATTCTTATGTTTTTTTAATTATTGTTGTTATTATTATATTGTTATTAAATAATTTTGATATTCAAATAAATAAAAAATAAAAAAAAAGAGAAAAGAGGAAAAGAAAAAGAAAAAGAAAAAGAAAATAAAAAAAGAAATAGAGAGAGAGAAATTTGATTTGCCGACCAACCAACTCAAATCATACACACAGCACACACACCACAACAATGATGGTGAAGAAATGACCAAGATTCATTAATTCACCAGTATCAGTAATAACAGTAGCACATATAAAATATAAACCCTAAACCTTTTTTTCCTAACAATCGATTAATATTGGCCTGTCGTGATTGCTAAGGTCAACTCACATTTTTATCAGGAATAATTTTCGTATTATTAACAGATCCGGCTACACGAAAGATCTCATGAAGCATGCTGTCCGTTACTCTTGGATCGAGATTACCAACATAGAGACTTTTACAACCTTCATCATTTGCACCCATTTTATATGTTTATATATATGTTTATATTTTAAATTATATTTAAATTATATATTAAGAAAGATATATTTTTTATAGTAAAAAAAAAAATTTTTTTTAAATTAAACTTATGGTGATCACATGATTCCCATAAATAGAATTCTGTCCGTCGTTTAATTTGAATTTTGATTTAAGCTTTTTTATTATTATTTACTATTTACAACAAGTTTCTTTCTAATTTATTTAAAACTTGATTACAAGTTTCAAAATGGGGATTTAAAAAAATTAAGGCTGACTTCAAAAGAAAAGTCATTTTGGCTTATAAGAATTAAAGTGTCTACAATATTGCCCCATGATAACTCATTTAATATTAATTTGGCGACAGACGGATTATTTGCCCGTTTGTATGAGTGTGTTTAATGGTCATTCGCAGGGAAAAGATTTAAAAGATTGAGATTTAATTAATTATTATGTACTAGTGTAATTAACATTAATATATATATTATTTAATTTTAATATACCAAAAATGATAAAGATCAACATTTTACTTGTAGAATAATCTAAATATTATATTTTATATATAAATAATTGAATAAAAAAGAGAAAGCAATATTTTTATTGATATTATTATAATCTATTATGTTATAAAATAAATAAATTGATTAAAGAACTGGAGGAGCTGATATCTTCAATTTCTCTCTGGCATATTCTACAAACTAATATTAATGTGAGGAAGGAGAACGTGAAAAATAAAGGTATTAAAAACAGTCAATTTATTTATTTATTTATTTATTTATTTATTGATTGATTGATTGATTGATACCATACCTCATCAATGAGAACTGGCCAAGCTCCTAATTTATGAAATTTTAGAAATTCATTAATGACACTAATAAATCTTTACAAACTTAGAGTTAACTAAAAAAAATCTTTAATTAATTAATTACCCTCTGTATCATAATTATTTAAATCCTCATTGATTTGTCTGACAAATTCCAGCAGCTAGAAAAAATAATACACAAATGAAATAATTAATTTCTTTTCTTTACCAGGGGTAAATTATTACCATCATAGCACATAACATACCAAATTCCAAGTGTCTTTTGATATTGCTTTACCATGTTTTTCCTAATTCAAATAAACAAATTATTAAAAGTGCACACACATTAAATAAAATAAAGGTTTAATAGATAAATGGATTTATAATATGAACCTTGACAAATTCTATCCAGATATCAAGAAGTGGCCAATGATCTCTCAATAATAATTTCCAGAATTCAGTTGCTACATCAAGGCCTAATATATTTAAGAAAGTAAGTAAAGGTTTGGAAAATAGTCGAGAAATTATCTTTTTCAAAAAAAAAAAAAACACAATAATAATCCATACTCAAAGATTTTTGATTTTCTCCTAATCCAAATTTAAAAGTAAATTGATAAATTTCTTTAAATTTACTATCATCATTCAGGGTTTGTCTAAGACTAGGTATGGCTGCTCGCATCTTTAAAAGTGTATCACATCTAAATCAGAAATTTTAATAATTAACAACATTTTCAAGAAAATAAAATTTAGAAAAATAGGATTTGTGTTAAAAGAACCTTAGTTTTGACCAACCCTCAATAAATCCTTCATATTTAAATTCACCGATTTTTTCTGCTTTAAGATGCCAAGCCATGACCAACATAACAACATCTTCAGGGTCAACTCCCAAATCATTACAATATTTTATTACTCCATCCACTGAAATTACTCCTTTTCTATCCCTATCATTGCCTTCTTCCCTATCTATAGAAATGGGTTGTAATATATATATGGCATGTTAACATTAGTATAATTTATGAAATCAACCAATCAAATTCATTAGCTGATTGATTAACTACAAACTAACCTATGTACTTGTTAAATACATCTTCAAGTTTTCTTAAATCTATTCCAGGACTTGAACTTTGAGATGTTGATAAGCCTCTCCAAGAGGTGGTGCTAGGTTGATTATTAAAATAATCGTCTACGGCTACTTCGACATTCCAATTGAATTCTTTTAATTTTTTTTGAGAAACTTTTTCACTAATTGTTTTATTATAATATCGAATTGAAAGTTAATAGACCAACTAATATACATGTATAAACTTGTGTTGTCATGGTCATTTTTATTATCAATATTTGATACCTTGCACTTGTAAAGGCCATAAATTGTCTGATTTTTTCCTTTTGTTGGGTTTTTGTGCTCTGGAAAAGTGAAGAAAGCTGGGATCAATAAAATATTATCGTAAACAACACGCTTTTAATGAAACTGGTAAAACCAAGTTCCTTACACACCATGTTTTAATTGTTTCCTTTTTTTATGTTTATGATTTTATATTATCAGGCTTGTATTTTTCTTTCTTTTAATGAAATGGATTAATAAATGAAATTTTGAAATTCAAATAAATTAACTTGAGAACAACGCAAATGTGTAACAATATCACATGTGCATTCGTGTGACTAACTATTATTTTTTTTTATTTTCAAGTGAACAATAAATTATGAGTCAACAATCTTTAATTAATGAATAGATGACAACAAAACAGAATTAATTAATTTAATTAATTAATATGAATAATAATAATATTGTTGTTATTATGGCACATCAATCACAAGACATTTTCTTTGTTAACTTCCAACCATCCTAATAATTCAACTGAAGTGTTTGGTGATAATGCTACTTGTCCCACAGAACGATGAACCTATGTATGCACATACACACATACAAACATACACATTTATTTGATTAACAAAAATTAGAGATTGTTTCACGTTATTGTAAAGGAAAAGATTATATTATTACCATTTTCAGTTCCAGTACAATTACACATGACGAACAACACTTTATCATTTTCAGATTCTCTAGTATTATTAGCACCATCATTTTGTTGTAAAGCCTCACCATTAACACCAATATCTCATATTTGAAGTATCATAGATTGGTTCATCATAACTATCCAATAACAATTCACTGTTGACACATTCACTTGATTTCAGCCAAGCCATTGAGCATAGCATGATTTTACTTTTTTCTTGTAGATGAAGATGAGCTAATTCAAATTCAGACGAGGGAGCCAGGAATCTATAAGGGCTCAGATCCATGCAAATTGCTAAGCCCACCTTCAATAATAGCTTAATCAATTAATTTAATAAAAGAATATAGAAAATGACAAGCCCATTTCTGAATCAATAAAAAGATTTGTTAACCTTTCCTAATATAGGTATGTGTATTGATTTGAATCCTGGGCCTTCCTCAGCCCAATTCCCATCAGTCTCATATAAATGTGTTATTTGATATGTTGTAATAAGTTCATCAAATCGATCAGCTAAACAAATACTGTTGTAATATTTATCTGGATTTCCTAAATAAAAATGTGTTTAGGTTGAAGATAGGCATTAATTATATATACAAGTGTAAAAGTGAATGTGTAATTGATTTGTCATTTAAACAAATAAATACATTTAACTATTTGAGGATATCCTATCATAGCAAATGCTTGCAATCTTGTAACTTCAATTATGATTGAAAAATCACATTGGTTAATTAATTAATATATATGTATCTTTCTATGAAAATTATGTTTACCTTGGAAACTTGCCCATTGAACTGTGGTGCCAGTTTCTGCATCTTCTAAATATGGTCTTATATGATCCTCGCTGGTGAAAACATATCCTTATGAAAATAAAGATAATATTGATACTTTTTTTTTTCAAAGAAATCTTCTGACCAACAAAAAATATCTGTAAAAGCCATTTCTGAAAGTAACAAAATGCCAATTTCTCCTGTACCATATCTACATTATAAGATTTTTGTTGGGAAATAATTGAAAATAAAAAACCAATAATAAAAAATTTGTTTTGATACCTCGAGAGTAAATTGGAGGCAAAATATTGATTTCTTTCTACTTGTTCAAGTATAGGATTAAACTGAAGAAATGTTATTTACATAATATTATCGAAAATTATATAACGTTTAAACATATATTAATCAAATTAACTCTTACCAACATTATGATTTAATAATAATAATTCATAAAAATCCATTAATAAAAACCTGGGAGGATCGTCATCAATAAAATAAACTTGCAAAAATTTTGTCCTTTCATTATGCAAGATCACATGGAATCATTTTGTAAATATATAGAAACTAGAAATGCAAAAAACTTTTCTTTCGTTATATTAAAATAAATAGTTTACTTTGGAGAAGCTATATTAATATATATATATATATATATATACATGAAGTTGAAATATTTCGACCTGGGAAATCAAAGTTGAATCAAAAATCGAAATGGTCGAAATTACATCATTAAGGCTCCGCATGAGCCAGCTCATGAAGAGCTTTATACATCATATAACAAGATGAACATACAGAAAATTAATCAAAAGCTTCAAATCCTCATAACTTGGTCAATATCTGGCTATTTTGAATAAAACAATTATCATTCGAATTCTCTCAATAAGGTGAGTCTAATGAGATGTAATGATCATTGAGATGTTTTGGTTTACCATAATATTACAATAACTCGCCATTTATTAATGCTATGGACATTAAATCACCATTATTCGAATTGTCTTTACGAGACTATTCTAATGAGCCGTTTTCATCACTTGTTCCCAAGATAAATAATCTTGAAATTATTAATTATAATGAATCATGTGATATGACCATTTCGACTTTTCGGGGGTCAAAGTCGCGACCATTTTGTCCCCCGAAATTAAATGTTTCGACTTCATGTATATTTCTAAGTATTGATATATTGCAAGGTGATTAGGTATGGGAGTAGAAATTTGTGGGTGTGGTTTAATAATCTCTACTTTTGATGTTTTTTGAACTTGTATTGGTGTAAAATTTCTCCATTCACCTATATTTGGAAAAGACCTTGCTCCAATGTAGCATATTCACCTTTTGTTGGCCATTGCTATTCAAACCAATTAGATATACCTGGTATTGTATTTATTTTTCTTTTGTTCTTTTCTCTATTTGGCACCAGATTTGCTACTGAAGTACCTCAATATTTTTACCTTCTGTAAGATTACAACCTAACCTAACACACCTTTTTATTGCATGTGGTGTGTGAAATTCAAATTATGTGAATTTGAAATTTGTAATTAAATTTGATTCACCAATTTTTATTTTCAAATTTACATGCAATGGATGTATATAATAATTTATAATAAATATAATTTACCTGAGCATTTTGGGAATCAATTGAGGTTTTGGCTTCACCAGCTTCTAAAAAAATCCTGTTACAGCTGCTTGTAATGAACCAACAAGAGTAGCCTAAAAGTTAAGCCATAATTGGCATTAACCAAATAGCAACCTTGTAATATAAAAAATCAGAAAACTGTAAAAAGTAAATAATATTATAATTTAGCTTTAAGAAATGGAATAAAAATAAAATAAAAATATAAATAATTATAATGATAAATTTTATTATTATAATGGAGATTAAATTAGTCATTTGTCAATTCTTTCTTTTACTATCTAATGTTTATTAATCAATCAAATGCAAATAAAGCATTGTTAGTAATAATTATTGGATAGTGGTTTCCAATTAACTAATAATGAAATTTTTATTCACCTTCAATATTTAAGAATATCAAGTTCATCTAATGAAGTATCATTAATTTTTAAGCTTTTAGATTTAGCAATCTCTTCATCTAATATTCTACTTTTATGATGTGCATCTGGATGTGATTTATGTACTGCGAGCGTGCAATCCGAGTTTCCTATTTAATAGGTTATTTATAGCTCAACACACAGCCTACTCGCTGACTTACGGTTGATTCTATTGTTTGACACACAGCCTCCTCGCTGACTTACGGTCAAGTTTCCTTTATTTATTATATATGTATGACACACAGCCTACTCGCTGACTTACGGTCAAAATTAATAAAAAT